GAACCTTAGTACATTTTAAGAGGAATGTGTTTTTTCTTTTATTAATTATAAGTAATGTTGGGTGTAACTAACATATGTGTGATTTTGTTTGTATTGTACGTTTTGTGTTTATGGTAATCTGTTTGGAAAAGCTATTATAAAAACATGTTGAGTAGCAACATAGCGAGATTATTTACCTAATAACAAAAAGATCTAAAAAGGAAGCTTTGTTAAGGTGTTCAGTGAAGACTTTGAACCATTCGACGCCTCGCCTCTGCTTGTAACACAAGAAATATGCATCCTCAACTTTGTAAAAATACGATTAAAACGTGTCACAACGTGTTACGTGTTATAAACTGGAGGAAATAACCAAGCAGAACATAGTAAGAATCTTTAAAGTCGTAAGGAAATCGAAAATATTTTGCCATTAAGCGAACACAGAGAACAGACAGTACACTACTACTATATGTAGCTTACTAGATCAACCTGTCGAAACAGTTTTAGAATCAGGCAAAAAATGCTATTAATTCAAAATAAACTATTGTTATTATATTTCATTACTATTTGAACGTTCTATTACAAAATTAATTTCTTTCGTCATAATTGACTTTAAAGTTATAATGACTTGAATTATTTGTTAAATTACTGCACTCGGGAAATTGAAATATTACCATAAACTCAATTTCTTCATTATAAATTATATATATTTTCCCATCGCACAGAATGATTCGGAAAGTAAAAGTGGAGTATATCGTCTTTATTGTGGATGTGTTATAAATTTTCAATAGAAAATACTGAAAATATTTTATACTGATAATAATTTATGTATGTATATTAAAAACAAGAGTATACAGTTTTTATGCATATATTTGAATTTTTTAAATTTCACAAAAGTATTTGTTGTATAAAATATGTACGCTTACAAGTAATTAATTAATTATATAAATTTTATGTAAGTTGTTCGTGTAAATTGAAGGGATATTTTACAAATCGCATATGTTAAATAGTGTATTTGCCCCAATCGCTGTAATTAGCGTATAAAATATTGGGATGCAAAATAAGTATATTTATTATTTATAATTATATAAATTTACACTAAATAATTTCAAGTTACAATATTAACAATTTAATATAAGTTAGCGGAAAACTGTACGTTTCAGCTGAATACCCTTTATAGTTTATAGTTTAATTTTATATTGAATACTATTTTCTAAATATAAATGACAATTTTATTTAACAAGCGTTCAATTATTTAATATTGCTTCAATATTTTCATTTTTCTATAAGAAATTTTACCACATAAACTAAATATATATATATATATACTTGGCATAGTTATACATTTTTCAAATTGATAAATTTAAAAATGTATTATATTTTTATTCATAAGAATTTAATAAAGTTCAGTGGTTTTTTAAAAATTTGCAGCAGCATAAAAATTCTTATAAACGCATGTACAAATTGTACGTATTGATTTTTCGAATATTATATATTAATTTTAGTCTTAATTAGTCATTTAAGCATTCAATTATAAGCATCGATTTTTAAACTTTTATAGATATATAAGTATTAAAGTATATATACTATATGTATATATATATATTTTATATATACATATAAATTTATTCATATCGTCGTGTTTATTTAATATGTTATTTTACTATAATAAAATGTTTATATATATATTTTTTTTTTGTTTTTAATTTATCATAATCTTTTTAAATATTGTATTTTTATCTTAATATTTAATCTAAATCAAATATGTTTTTTTATGTATTTGTGAACTCAATGAATTATTTGTGACTTAGATTGTAATTTGTACTTCATTTGTACTTGATTTGCTCCCTTAAACTAGTTTAGTATTTTTTTTTAATTATTTTCTTCAAATATATATTTTAATATATATTGAGTGTTTTAATAGAGTTTTATGTATATTCTTTAATATTTGTTCGTAAAAAAAGAATTATTTAAATATTTTGAGATTTTTTAAACCTATATACTTTTAAATATGGATTAATTTGAAAAAATTTATTCAAAATTGCATTTTGATATACATTATGTATTTTATATCAACTTTTTTTTTTAATTTTACTACGCAATCAACTTCAAGAGGACGCGTCAAAAATTTGGTGATCTTAAGCTAAATGATGAACATCGATATATAGATATATATGTATATATATGTATATTGTAGAAAATTATGTATTTGTGTATATAAATTGTGTATAATTGTAAACATGAACGATGTTTTTATTTTCAACTTTCTGAGGTTAATGAAATAAAATAAAATAAAATCATTTTCTTTAAGCTTAAAATATATATTAAACAATTAAATATATAGATCGATATAATACGATTGTTTTTTAACCCATGAGTTTATAAATAATATAAATATTTCAACTCTTATCTGTTAATAATAAATTATTTTTAGTGAACTGTGTTTTTTGATTGTGAGCCTATGGCGAAGTACGGTTCTGAATATTTATTATTATTTTGTTTTACCTTTATTCTATAAATTTAATAAATATTTTTAGGAATTATATGATGATCATATATATATGGCATTTTTGAATATATAAAACGCTTAACGCGATTAATACTATAAACGTAATACATTAAAAAAAAAACTTTAAAATTATCTTAAAAACAAATATTTTTTCACAATTTTATAAAAATTAAATAAAAATAAAACTTATTTTTAAACACAAAATGGTATGAATGTGTATCAATCTGGTTGATACCAGAAATCACAAATTATCTTACAAAATGTGGTTTACGCAATAATTAAGGTATCTACATATAACAATACTGCTTAACTTTTTAAACATAGAGAATTTTATAACCAACAAATAAATACATATATAAGGTCGATATTTCTTTACAAAATGTCACAAAAATCACGTGAAAATTTCTAACTGGAAAAACGAGAAAAATCGTAACAAGGAGTTGAAAACTTTAGGACATTAAAATTTTTTTTCGTATAAATATTAATAGCTTATAAACAACTTATTTAAAAATAACATATATTTATATAGTGATATATCATTTATTAAATTTATTAAATATTATTTACGAATAATTAAATACAAGAATTATTTCCAAGACCACTAATGATGGTCTTGCTCGAAACAGCTGTATGGTCAGCCAAAAATTCAATTAATTAAAATAATATAAAAAATAAATTTTTGTTGTTGTAGTTCACTACTGTTCGAAAAACCTCTTTAAGTAAATATATAAATAATATATGTGTGATCAAAATATATTATTCTGTAAGTTCAATATAGCATATTTTTTTTACAATATTTATCATCTCCTTTTATGTTAATAAAAACTAACGAATGCTTTTAAAAATGTTATTTATAAATCCATTTAATTTCTAAAATCACTCAAAATGAATAACAAATTTTATATATTGTTGTTTAGTAGAATATGATGCATGCAGATTAAACAGGATTTTTAATGGATTATAAATTAATATAAGATTAAAACTTTTTAGATAAATTGTTTTCAAAGTATAGATGTTCTAGTTTTTTTAAACTAGATTATTACTTGTTAACATTTAATCTCGTTTAACATTGAGAATATGTCGTATATCCTTACAATATTTTATTTATGAGGTTAGGTTTAAAGAGCACAAGTTGATTGCAATATCGCCACAACACAATTGTGATATTCTCAAAGTTGCCAGAAGAAGGCAAACAACATTAACCATTTTTTTAATATGGATCCTTTCATTAAATCATGTTAAACCATTTGGTTTTCTAGATAAAGTTTAGGAGTTCCATAAAATTTACTTTCATTTAGTCTCCTACTAAGAGTAGAAGATTTGTTATTTCAAAGCGAATACCCTAACACATCAATATTTTTATTTTGAGTTAAATTTTAAGAAGTTTTAGATAACTTTCATTATAAAAACATATCCATAGATTGATTTATTTATATGTATGTATATTTTGATATTATTTAATCTTGTTATATTATTTTGTTTGATTAATCCCTGAAAGAGTTGACTATATTAAATAATCGAAGTTTAGCATAATAAAGTTGTTAATTTGTCTCTGTATTATTCATTCAAAAATGTTTGTTCTAGACATTTTCATATTGTTATACCTTAAGCGTAACCCACACATATCTTTCTCTTAAAATTTTTTTTTATATAAAAATATATAATTACAGCATATTGCAAATTAAATTATTTTGTAATAATTTTAGTCTTTGTAAGCACAAAATTTACCGATTATACACGAGAAAAAAAACAATAATCTGTCTTCTAATCGGTATATTTGATCGGTACAATTATTATATAATGAAATCTTAATATAGATATATGATATATAGACAATCTGACAAATGTTATTACGATCAAATATAAATTATTATTTTAATAAGAATAAAATACAATTATGAGCATTTAAAAAATATATAAACTATACAACATAATCAAAGTTAATTTATTTATTTTTAAGTCTAACAAATGCATTTGTTCTCGTAGAACAAATGGCGCATTTTATGCATGTTGCTTAATTTGTGGAAGGAGAGGTATATGTAACTTGTTTAACAAATCAAAAACAAAATCAATCAATTAAATCATATTTGTAAAATTACTTAAACAAAACAATGAATCAATCGATCGATCAATATACTAAATTAAATTTAAATAAATTTATCTATAATTGCTAGCAAATACAAATACAATATTTCTTTCTATTCAATACTAATAGCTAACCTTTGTCTAATCGTTTGTTAAAATTACAATACAATATTTTGCTAATTAAAAAATCCTTTTTTGAAAGTGCTGAGGAACATGTCACCACCCTTATATGTTCTTCTTTATTTTAAAAAAAAACTAGGTTTAATGTCTCTGTCTAATTATGTATTGTATTAAGTTTTTTAAAATCCTTCCTTAAGTATCATTAACAAATCGTGTAATTGATTTTCCATGCAATATATAGCATAGTTGCGTTATCATTACAGAAACAATAATTATAATTATTTAATTATTGTTTCTTTTTTAAATTGCTAAAATTCTAATTAATTTATTTCTAAAGTAAATGTTTTTAATTGCTAATGAACACATCGATGTACATAAATTCATAAATAATTTGTATGATTCCCTCATTCACGTTTACGTTAAAATGTTTGAATGAATTGAAATGAAATATGTTTGCAAAAGCCCATTTTGAATGCCCGATATTCAAATTGCGCTTCTAGTATTCAGTGCATTAGTCGCTTTGGTTTTCAGTCTTTCTAAAAATTAACCAAAATATCCGCACGCATATAAATATCCTCTTCCGTAAGGATTTAACGGATTTAAAGGTCCAGTTAATAATTAATTTTTTTGAAGTTTCTTCTTAGTTCATCAGTCTCATTTGCAAAAAAAATAATACGAAGAAATTAATGCAGTAAAATCAATACAAATTAAATAAAAATGAAACATAGAGCTAACGTTACATGTGTCCATTATTTGAACTTTGTTCCGTTGAGTAATGTCCTTTCTTAATGTATTCGTATATTGTAGGAAAATATTTGTCAGTCTAATTATATCTAAAATTTTAACGTTTTTCATTTTATCCGTTAGTATGTTAAAACGTTTTACGTACAATTTCATAAAACTGCTGGCATAAAATAATATTTATGTACCGCTATTATTGGCTTAATTCTATTGAGGTAATCGTTGTAGAATATTCAAATAAATGCGTAAATGTTTTTTTTTTGTTTTTTGTTTTTTGTTACTTGTCGTGTCCTCAATTCAATAATTTTGTCTAAATAATCTAAAACGTTTTCGTATTTATACCGAATATTTTGATACTTATAATTAATTACTTATCTTCTTAGTTTTTTCTTTAATAGTTATGTGTTTTTCTTAGATATGCAGCTTATTACTTATCTGTTATGTTCCTAGAACACGTGTACAAAACGTTTATAAGGATTCGAACCCTCTTTGGAATCTGGTGATAGCTCAATTAAGAACACAATTCTACCGTCCGGCATCAAAGCTACATCACATGTGCGATCTTTCTCATCAAGAGTAGTTGGCATAAGCGGATTATGTGATGGACGTACTTCAATCTATGAAAGTATTAAAATTTTATTTATTTATACGTAAATAGAAATAAATAGAAAAAAATTTAAACTTACATCCCACAAATAATCCAAACTTGGGCTAAAAACAACAATACGTTGGTTTTTAGAGTCAGCAACAATAATACGCCCATCGTCATCGCAACATAAACCTGAAGGACGATTGAATTCTTGGAATCCTGAACCTTCATGACCTTTGGCAGAGAGAATCTGTTAATTGGAAAAAAATATTTTCATTTTCAATAATTAACAAACATTCTAGTTATATTTAAACATTTGCGTATTAAAATATATTAAATTAATATTTTTTTTAAACTTATGTAATTAGTTTTTCAAGCGGCCGAGCCTACGTCCAGGAATCGTTCCCAACACAGTTGTTTAAGTGCTGCTCACCACTCGCAACAGAGACAATTTTAAAAAGTCTTTTCGATTAATAACAACATAAACAACAGACTTAATGCATTTATGAAATCCCCAACATCACTTACTAAAGTAATTACTTTTTTATTATTTTTATGACCAAAAATTAATTAATATATTTTGACCAATTAGCTAATTAATAAAACGCACTCAAATAATTAAGTCCCATATTGAAAACGTCATACTGCATACAATTAACCATCTAAATTAAATTCATATGTATTACGTAGCGTATATTAGTAATAAGTATAAATAAGTGAAATATATTTGACGATGATCCATTTAAAAATAAGTTCGAAGTAATATTTAATAATGAAACATAGGTCAATGTGGTAATAGAGCTCTTTCATGAAAGAAAGAAAAAAACTGAAGGTTTTGCAAAATATTTACAGAAGAAAATTAATAAAATAACGATTGATATTTAAGCAATTGATAAAATAGAAACCTTATATTTAAGAAATGAGGAAGAAATCAACACTTTAAAAGGAAATCCCTCGGTCTAAATGGAATCAATAACAAAAACTTTGCAAAAACTTCTGATCTCAGTTATAAAGATATCTTCGTCTGGGTATATTCCCAGATCGGTGAAGTGAAGTGTATTGAAGTGATCCTAAATCACCTGAATAACTCATTATCATATTGGAATGAAACACTTATTACAGTGAATTACCCTAGTGATCACAGACACTATTAAGTACAAGTGCTTTAGACTCTGACTCTCGTTTTAACAAACAAAAAGAAAGAAAACTAATATAAATTTAAGTAAAATACAAATGAAATATCTAATAGAAATTATCTTTTACAAAGAACCAATGTAATATTGTTATCGATATGGTAGAAGTAGAAAGTAGAAAGAGATGTTTAGTGTAGATGATAGAATATTAAATTTTAAATACATCTAACTAAAATAGTAGTTAAATCTCATGAGATCCATTGTAACATCTATTTATTTCAACTAATTTCAAAATAATCGTTTAAAGAAAAAACAATAAACATACTTTTACTATTGAGCTTTCCTAAAATCAATTTACTTTTCAAACATTTTAATAAAAGTTTTCTACAGACATTTTTCTAATTTTTTCTCATATATTTGATGCAGTTATATAGCACTTTTTAATTTTTTATTCTTTAATTCATATTAATTTTTCTTTTTTTGTTTCTATCTCCTTGTCTTCACTTATTTCAAAGTATGAATTTGAACTAACTTGAAGCCTGACTATGTGTAAGTGCAGTGTATAAAGTAAAAATAATATGGAGATTTTTAGTAATAATATTGCACACCAAAATTAAAATACACCACAATACATATTAAAATCTATAAACGTATATGGAATTTTAGTTTTTACATTATAAGGAAATACTAGATAATATACTTCAATAAATATATGTAGTCTTACCTCATTTATATCTGGATCAATTAAATACAAGCAGTGATTATCAAAATCTGACACTATAATATTTCCGGTTGGAGTGTAGCAAACTCCACGTGGAGATGCTATACCCTTATTTTGTCCATGGTTATCAAATACAATTTGACGAATGAAACGGCCTTCTGAATCGAATTGTTGTATACGATGATTACGAGAGTCTGAAACTACTATCTGACGTCTAGAATTGACAGCTACGTCCCATGGATACTGGAATTGGCCATACTCTTTACCGTAGCTGCCAAATTTTATGAGAAATACGCCACTTGCAGTAAATATTTGAACACGGTGATTATCTTTGTCAACAACAATAATACGATTATCAATATCGACACAAATGCCAGCAGGCAAATCGAATTCACCATTTCCAACACCTTTGCGACCGAATTTGAATTTCAATGTACCATCTGGATTGAAGACTTGTACACGATTATTGCGACGATCTGATATAAGAATATGTCCCATTTTGTCAACACAAAGACCCCAAGGACGACTTACTTGACCGTCTTCATGCCCTTCCGTAGCAAAAGATAAAGAAAGTGCATTTGATTTACGAGCTTTAACATGATCTGTACTCCCAGCTATTGCTTGTGTAGAACGTGGTGCACCAAAATGTAATCCCGGTGAACTACGCATTACACTTAGCTCCCATTCTATACCAGCATTTGGTACAGTACAACTATTTGTACGCGGTGGCATTATAGGTGATGGATTATGAAAAGAGTTATCACGCAATAGAGGGCGTCTAGAATTTGTTGGTATTACAGCAGTCATTCCATTATTTGGAAGTGAAAGCACAGTACCAACATCATTTGGCGGAGCTCCAACCATATTTCCGCTTGTCGGCATTGGCATATTCTTATCGTCTACTAGTATTATAGCACCTTGATTACGTATATCTTGTAAAATAGAATAGTCAGGTGCAGCGAATGCAAACACCTCTTGTTTGGGTTGTAAGTCTTTATAAATAGCTGCGAATTGCTCTAATTGTCTTTGACCATTTGTGACTTTCATAGCAATTTCAATATGATCCATGCGAGTTGAGTTCTCTGAAATTTTGTGCAACATATCAGATGTTTCAGCCAAGCCAGACAAAGCTGATTTCAAACCAGCCATCTGGTCATGTAAAATAGCCAAGCGGCGTTGACGTAATTTTTCTACAAAATCTAATAAAAATCTTTCACGATCTTCGATTGCAATTATAAAT